ATTATTATTATTATTATTATTATTATTATTATTTTTATCATGCTAATCTACACAACAGACATTATTGGCGGCACTCAGGCGGGTTTTGGCTTGCTTCGCGCCGGCGCCCCCAAATCCCGCGCCTAAGTACTCGCAATATCACCTTTTTTAGCAGGCTAAATGAATGCATTAGAAGTCAGAAGATTAAAAGAAAGGAGACCCTTAATCGATTAGTACCGATCTAGTAAACGAGTCAGCTAGCTTTATCCCTCCGGGTATTGAACGTGTATTTTCGTTTTGTGTGTGTGTGTGTGTGTTTTTGTAGGGAACCGAGATAAACTGCGAAGTAAAACATGGACGAAACGCTCTCCATTATGCAGCTGATGCCGGGAAGGTTCCAATTTGTAGGTTTCTGTTACAAAGGATGGCTATCATTGACGTAAGTTTTATGCTATTTTAGCAATTACAGTCTGAAGGTCCCTGCTATATATAGCGCTAGCAGAGGCCTCTTTTCGCCGAATTGCGGGGAAAAAAGGCTTCTCCCCCGCCCCCCGCCCCCAGCAGGGAAAGTCTGGAAGCGCGGAGGTCACCTATCTGGAGGTGAAAATTCAAAATTACAGTTCGAAGAACTTGAACGACTAAGATGTTTTGGGTCCTAAAATTAAAGACATCTTGATTGTTCAAGTCCTTCTGGCTGTAGCAGCCACAGCCAGGGAAACCGGAATCACGATGTCTCCTCCATCGTCGAACGCGATAAAATAAAAAATAAGGAGTTGTGGTTTTGTTTTCAGACAGGTTCGCAAGGTGACAAACTTGAAGGGCTCAAAGCATTGATCGTTCCGGCTGTCAATGACACTTAAATTACTGAGTTACAACAGAGCAACGGAATACTTTGAACAAATCAGTGATAACACAACACTAGAGCAGAAGGAATGTCTCGAAATGTCAGACTTGCAGTAACTTTGTCCGTTTGAAAAACTAAGTACAGACGCGAATTAAATGCCAAAACCAATACCAAGAAACTAAGTATGGTTTTTGCAAAAGCCTTCCAGCAAGTCTGCGCAAAAGCAGGCGAACAAACTCAGTAATCACACACACTAAAAAAACTTCAAAGACGGGACTTCAGGAACTCTTTCACACTAAACCCAGAATGAAAATTGCCATTTTTGTCCTTCGTACAGTACCAAGATATCGATGGTATGACTCCCCTGATGGCAGCTGTTGATAAGGATCACCTTGGAACTGTGGATTTTCTACTTAAAGAAGTAAGTAATTAAGCTGAATTCCCTTTATAGTTTGAATAAAGTCAGTTAAGTCCGAACGTTCCCGGCCTTCATCTCCTTTATTCGCACTTCTCTGCTTCCTACCGTATTCACGGCAAAACAGCCAAACAGCAGGTAATAGGGGCCTTAAGAAACGAGAATGTTGACGTCCCTGACGTCAAAAATGGTAACTGGGAGTTGATATTCTCCCTCTTTCGGTGTTCTGTCTCGATAAATTCGTACAGCGGGAGTTAAAACAAAGGCATTCAGATTCGTTGTGTGAGACAGAAGTTCCGCGAGCGAGACATCGAACAATCGAGATCTCGAACTTCGAGTTGCTTCGCCGACACCAATGAAAAGAGCGCCTTAAAATTTGTAACACTTCCCAATTTGAAAGTTTGATGTCTCAAGCCAGTGAAGATATATAAAGCCTCAACGTTTGCAGACGTTTGTATGGGGTTGGGGGCGAATTAAGTTTGTGCCCTCCACCAAAAAAAAAACGTCTGTAAAATTTCCGTCGCTACTTTGAGGAGCTAAAACTTCGTTAGTTTTCACCAAATCTCTTTCAAACTTGGCAATTTTACTAACTTTAAGACGCTATTTCCAGTGGTGTCAACTGATTTTCCCTATTAACTTGTCAAAGTCAAAAGTTGTAAAAAACCTTGGAAAGGTCTATTCGTATCATTTAGTTACACAAATTGCACTTGCTATAAAAAGTCGTTGTTTTCATTTGGGCGTAGAGGTTCCAAGACCTTCAATAAATGTATTGATGTTCTGGATCAATTTAGGTTTTTGGGAAAATGCCTACCCACTCCTTCCCTAAGCCAACATTAACACTTACTTCTCGTTTAGGGCACAATATTGGCTTTGGGGAGGGGTAGGTGGGCAGTTTGCCAGAAACCCAATTAATCCTATGTTCTCTCTATTTTACACTTGTTGCCACTAGGGAGCTGATCCATATGTCGAAGACGAGTCAGGAAAAACTGTTTTTGACATTGCAGAGGAAAAGGATTTAACCAAGATTCAGGCGCTCTTAGACAAATACAAAAAGAAGTAAACAACCGATGGCTTCTGATTGATTCAATTAGTACGTTAAATAGACGGGTTTCACATTCATGCGGAGAATATTATGAATCTGCATTTTGAAGGCCATGGTAGATAGTATTGAAGAAGTATAAAGTGAGTTTGCTATACTAGCGGATGGAGTGAAGAAGAAGTGAAGAATGATGAAGGAAAATGCAGTAACTCTAGCTAGTTGTTTTTTTTTTTTAGTATTCCGTCATCTTTGTTTAAGTGGCTTGAGACCATGCAGGACTTCTCGTTCTGTGCATAATTGTGAAACTATGGGGCTGTTTACGTGGAGGGAGGAATATCCTAGCACCAGGAAGATCCTAGAAGGGGAATCATCTTAGCGCCATATGTTTTCTGTATTCAGTTTACATGCAAAGGGATGTACTTGTCTCTGGCGCTACGATCTTCCTAGTACTACGATCTCCCTAGCTGAGAGGTAGGAAGATCCTAGCACTATGTAAACTGCATTCGCCAGGAAGAACCTGGTATTAGGGACAAAACACACAAAACTGGCGGCGGGTCGTTCAGTGGGTAATCTTTAATCTTTAATTCCTTCTCTACCGTTAACCACACGGACTGAAATTTCTGCATGCAAACCCAACGGAAAGTTTTTCCGCCTTCTAGGATATCGATCTTCCTGGTGATAGCCTCCCTCCATTTAAACAGCTCCTAGGTAACAAGTCGTTTGTGAGCTTATAAGCATTATCGTTATTTGTTTTTTGTCTGTCATTGCATTTAATATCCCTACTAGGATTTCAACCTTCCAGTCAAGCAAGTTGCCAGCGTCAAAATTCCAGGGGAAAAAAACGAAAACTTCCCCAGACCACATGGTTTCAAGAACTTTCATGCTCAACGGTTTATTTGAATGGCCACACTACAGAATTTTAATCTCAGAATCTAAATTGACATAAACCAAGATTGGTTAGAATTTTGGCATTGTTTATTTGAAAAAGACAACTCTTCAAGGAGAAGTAAATTTTTTATTGTATTCTTTTCTCGTTAATTACCGCTGGGAAAACTTCAATTTTTTAAACTTTTTGTTTTTTCTGTATCAGCGGCAAAAAATGTTAAGTGAGTTTTGACTAACTTAGCAGAGTTAATAACTAGTTTTGTATTTGTTTCGATTTTTTGTACAAATTGAAATACAAACTGAGCGTATTAAATAGTTTGTCTGTTTCTTATTTTACAAAGTACTTAGTCGAGTTGTACAGTCATTTACTGACGAGAATTATTGTGGTTTTGTTTGGTTCTCAGTGCGTGGACGAAATCTTTTATCTCGGCAATCATTACTAATTTCTGTTCTCGAGCGAAATAGCTTTTATCATGTCCAAGACAACGGATGTCCAAAACGTAAAGAGTACCATCCATAAACTTTCTAAAAGCCCTTTTCGCGCTTCTCTCACATTTTTTGTGTTTGCACTCGACTTTTCCAGTTCGACTTGAGGGAAAATATTTGTGACATTCGCCGTTTCCCAAGGAGGGGTTACTTCGTAGTAACAGGCTAATAGGGATGTGCCGCTGGATTGACCATAACGGGGGTTGCATTTTCAATGGAGTTACGACAATGGGGTCGTAGATTTTCGGGATTTTGGATTGGGATAAGAAAATTTTGGTACGTAGGGATTTAAAACTTAGGTTCGGTTACCTGCCGCTGTTCGTTAAAATGAGGTCGCACTCATTTCCCCGAAAGAGACCGGGGAGGATCAAAGACCGGACCCGGGAGACAGTGGAAAACGAACGAATTTCAAAACAGGAAGATTCGCGGTTGTAAAAGTGTAAAAAAGTGACTAAATTGGAATGGCGAAAATTACATTTGCCCAAATTAGGGACTAAGATGGGGTCCATAGTGGGCCAAAGTATAGAGTAGAATGGGGTAGGGGTTCTGATAAGTGTGCAGTGACATATATCCAGCCAAACATGGCCCAGGTAACCCCCCCATCCGCACGGCGTTGCCCAGGCACTTTCTGCTTTCGGCTCGCGCAGTTCGACTTCTACGCGTCTTTGCCATATTCACCGTTCAGAGTGTTTATTGATCATTTTCCCACCCCAAACACGCTGTCGTACGTTTTCCACGCTTGAACCATACCGACTTTTAGCAGCGTTTTCTATCAAAACCTGTTCCAACCAGAGGGATGGTTAAGCACTGCTGAGAACAAGAATCTATCTACTGTCAATCCCCAGAGGCAAGAATATTTCAATCACGTTTTTTGTTGGGTTCCAGGCCATGCCGTCCAGCCTGTAGAACCCTTTGCTGTAGCGGACACATGGGCTATAAAGCGTCCAGCTTTGATGTCCATTACATTTCGAAGAACCTTTTTTCTGTAATCTAGCCATGTTTCTGCGGCCAAATAATCACGGTACACTTCTTCCTCTGTAAGGCACCTACAAAAACAGGAACGAAGGATACGTTCGAACTTTAGAAATCTAAAAAAAAATCTATACATTTTATGTTTTGAGGCTGGCTGAAATTATAGACAGTGATATGCTCCTGCAGATGTTCATTTAAAAGACAAAAAAAAACAAAATTGTGCTGGTTTCTACCCAGGATTAAACTGTTCACAGTCCCCTATTTTTTCGTGAGATCGTAGCGCGCCTTACTGTTAATGACGGACATCTTGATATTTAAATGTATCGAGGGGGCTGGCGTCGGGAACCGTCCCCTTGCCCCCTCTCCTAAGTAGTTTTGACACTCATGCAAGATGGCAGCCCGTAATGCAAACCGCTCGATCTCGACGATCGTAAGGAAAAATAGAGGACTCTGAACAGTCTAAGCAAGGATGAAAAAGGGCACGACCACTTACCAAATTTTGTTATAAACAGGCAGCTCTATAGCTCCCACGCAGGCGTTTTTAGGGGAGGGAGTCGTATTTCCTCCCTCACGAGAAACGCTTTTTCTGGGAAGGGAGGAAATACGACTCCCGTACGTGGGAGGCTAGCAACTCCTTTATTAGCCTGCGAAAACAGCCGCTTCTTATCGATCCCCGACACCGCGGCTGTATTTGAAGGCTACTTCATTATCGTAATTGTTAGAAGAAGTGCAAGACATCTGAGGGGCTTTGAGAAACATAGGCCTGGTTACTAGGCTCTGACCTGTGTCGAGGGGAGAAGTTCTCTTGAAACACCTCCATATGTCCCTTGGGAATTAACTCAATTACTCTCCTTTTAGGCACCTTCAACACTCTCACTCCCGCGCTGACTAAAATGTTCCCCTGTCCTGATGGGGCGTCCATTCCAAGGGTTTTTAGATCCTAGAAAATGAAAAATATTTTTTTTAATGAAAAAAAAAAGCAATAATGATAAAGAATAGCAGTTCCGTCTCTGGTAGGCTACGCAAAAATTATATTAATGTCAGCACCGTAGCACACACCACCAACTATCATGTGTACGGTAGATCTGGCGCTTGACAAGTGCTTTTACACTCGTCTCGGCAGTGAACAGCGGGGTCGATGACCCGCAAGTGAGACCTCTCGCCTGGGGCTATGCCATGCTGATGAGTCCTAATGAGGACGAAACAGCTGTCCTTGGTTGCCACTGCCCGGGTGATATGGCTTTGCGCATGCGTAATGTACTGGCCTTACCTTGTACTGGCCTTACCTCGGAGTTAACTTCGGAGTTGCAATTGGCAGTGTGTGCTTCGGTGCTGATATTGGTACAATGTATTGTACGCAAAAACTGTGTCCACAATCGGCACCTCTTTCTAAATAGATGGAAATTTGAGTAAAGCAGGTTTTTTGACTACTTACCCAGGAATCATTAGGTTGCAAAGACCCCACGTTAACATAGCATGTATTTTTTCCGTTTTTACCAGGAACTGCTGTTGCTGGTCGAGGAAGCGCTCGATTATGGAATGAGCTAGTCGTAACACCAGATTTGAGGACATCTTTTAAGTCAACGCGACGCAACATGTCAATTTTACCCTGAAAACAGATCATAAAGGGTAAATTATACTGAAAATGGGAGAAGTGTGTCGTTTTCTTTAGATTTAGAGACGAGTGTGCGCGCGCGCGCGAGTGCCAAACGGTGAAGCCGCGAGAAGCGAGAAACGAGGGCGACAGCACGTCTTCAGTTACGCGCGTCTCGCGCGTCTCGTTCGACAGACTAAGAAAATAGAGAGACTGCTCATAGTCTAACTTATACTTCTCCATAAATTACACATGCCATGCTAAGGGGTTGCAAGGGGTAAATCGAATGGAATCAAACAGTGGCGTAGCCAGCAGGTCTCCATAGCTGCGTTGCCAGTTCTGGAATACCGGCAGACTGGCCATCGAGCGCCATTGGCGCTCTCTCCTCGGAGAATCCAAGGACATAGCACAAAGACTCTGAGATGCTCTAACCGCCCATACATATACAGTATGTATCCGGGCTTGTTCAAGTATCCTTCTCCTACCAAGGCCACCTGCATACAGGACACCCACTTTGTAAATTGCTTTGCGCGAAGAAAAAAAGAGTAAAAACTGTAAAATCTAATTTCCTTTGATCTGAGTAGCACGATTTCAATATCACAGTCATCTATTGAAAAACTTACCTTTATTACAAAGTAAATGGACTCCGAGGCTGTTGAATCGATATCGACAAGCTTTCCATAAGAATACTAGAAAACATATTAACAAAAAAACTGGAGCGGTTAACCCTTTAACCTTTAACTTCAGAAAGTGATTAGCACGTAACTTCTTCCAACAATATATTGGCCAGCTAACAGGTTATATCATGAAAATAGGCAAATATATGAGCCAGATGACTTTATCTTCGTATAACCCTAAATTTCATAAGTAAAGTTCTCTTAACTTATGTCAAAGGAGACGTAAAGGGGCCACAAAGGAGAATTTTTAATCAGATCTTTTTAGTTTACGCATCGCATTACGTACAGCTCTACTAATGGGATTCACTTCTAGCGCCATATACCTCTCACCACAATTGGTTTAGCTTAAGCCTTATCGGAAGAAAGGCTCACCCGTCCCTAGCCTGCGAGCAAGCTCTCCTATTTGGGTATGCGAAGTGAGCCTCGCGAGAACGCGCGAGCGAGGGGGCCTTTCGCCGGCCCCTCGCGGCTTCGCCGCTCGCTCACGCGTTCTCGCGAGACTCGCTTCACTCGCCCAAATAGGAGAGCTTGCTCGCAGGCTAACCCTTCCCTATTTTTCCCCTCAGTTTCTGAGAAATTAAGGTCTTCTGGAATCTGAGCCTTCAGTACAGTTGTTTTCTTGGACAGCGTTTGCACTGAAATCGCTGCCCAACCCTTTCGAATTATTCCCAATCTTTCTTTGCTTTCAAAATCAAAATCAGCTGAACTGCCGGCAACTTTAGCCGGATCAGGGCACACTTTCATGCTTCCTTTCCTTGTCTGTCGACCATGCATCTTAGGCAAATTTTTTAACATTGTGGCCTGGATAGACCTTTACGTACAACACAGCCGCCATTTTTACATCAAAAAATACCAAATACAACAAGCCAACAAACAAACCAACAAAAAAACATTTTGCGCGGCTAGCCTCACAGAAGAAAACTTTTAAGTTCAGACGAGTTAAAACAAAGCTTTTAGTTTTCTGAGGGAATAACCTGGCCGCCACGTGGAATAAAGAACCTGAGCTATAACGTCCTCACCTCTCTGATATGTGAACGATGAGTTAAAGATCGTAATAAATCCTCTCCCCAGCCGCAAAACAAGGAATGGCTCCTGCAATCGATTTTTAGAGAAAACAAAACAGTGCTTTATGTTTCACAATCTCGAACATTATTCATTTCATCAATACATGAATTTGATGAGGATGTAAACAGAACTCTATGAATGCACAAGCATGCATAAGTTTCTGTTTTTTGGTAACTAGTTATGACTATCCAAAATGCTAGATTGTTGATCACAAACTAGACGCTTTGTTATTCCTTTCACTAAATCAATCAGCAGGTTGCCTCACAAAATTTGCCCAAGTCCGCCTCCCCCCACCCCCCCCGGCTTCGTAAGGAGACTTCCTCTGTTAATCAGGACTATTCAGCCACAGCAGTTTATTCTTACAGGATATGTACAGCAGTAAGGTTTTTAGTGAAAATTTCGAGAATAAACACCTCTGTAAATTATGGACCGAGTTGAGTTATTTCCATTGATTTAGAAATCGGTGGAAAAAAAACGATCGCTTCTCCTCACCAGTCAATCGCGTTTCGCGCTCGCCTCTGTGCAAAAATCAGAAAAATCGAAGCGCCTTTGCCTAGTCCCTGTACGGCGTTTTCCCAAGCCGTCTTGGTCAATGCATTTCGGTGACGTATTCGAGATCTTTTAAACACACTAACGATGTCGACTCTTTTCTCTCCACAACGACAGCTTATATCGTTCGGATATACGAGACAAACCTAATCCCTAACGAAATCTCAAAATAAAGCAAAGAAACTTGGAGCTAGCATTCCAAAATCCACATGTCAGTAACGTGATCCTACGCGTTAGCAACAAACAGTCACACTTTTCCTACATTCAGAACACGAGCGCCTCACGTGTACAACAGCAAATTTATCAGTCACTACCCAGGATAGGGTTTACTTACTTCATGACCTGTACTTTTTCATCGTATTCTCGCTGAAACACATCGGGACAATATTGCAAGATGGTCTCTCTGTTAACCACCAGAACCTCTACACGTTCTCGACAGATAATTGTAGCTGTTCTTATTGCTTCTTCTGAAATGAGTGCTATTTCCTGCGAAAACAAGTGTTTTAGTGAAACGAAAAGTTTGTAAAATAGCTCTTCAACTGTCCTTGCTAACAAGCAATATTCAACGTTTGAAATAAATATTTCTTTGAAAATTATTACTTTTAAATTAACTCTTCTTATTTAATTCGGGAGTCTTTAGTTACAAGAAAGATTGTTGCTACAAACATAACGGTTATCAGTCATTGCCAAGTTTTCAATATTGACGTAATAAAAGGAAGAAAAAAAAAAAGGATTCTCTTAGGGACTTCAAGAATAAGTCCGTAAGAATAAGAGCCAGTGACCAATTTATAACTTTCGTAATCAGTGACGTTACAGAATATCATATTACCCCAAAGGCCTCGTTCTTCTCTAGGACATCAACAGTGTTTGTGACGTAAACACCGGTCTTGTAATCCTTTCGCGTTATAGTCACGGAGACTGAGCCCGAGACTATGAAGTAGAAACAAAATCCCGGATGTCCCTGCCGCACGATCAACCTTCTGCGTTCATAACTGAGGAAATAATTGAAAGAGAAGAATGACTTTATAAAAAGAGAGGACTAGAGAGGAAAACAAAGCAGAAATCCAGAGGAAGTTTATGTTATTGCGCTGTTATATATTATTCTATCTGTAGTAAAAACAAGGTTCTAATGAAACCCTGAATTGCCAATAAAGTGTAACCATTTTCTCAAATTTTTGTTGGTTCATCTTTCGCTTTTAGTCATTTTTCTTGGTTATCTTAAATTCTAAGTTTGGCAACATTAGTAAAGCTATTCTCACCATGCATAAGTCATGGTCTGACACAAGTTTCGCTGTGCCTCGCGGGAAAATTTTCCAAAGCTCTTCATTCCTCGCAGCAAAGTCGCAAGCTTCTTCATTTCAGCTTCAGTTCTTTCTTCGGGCTTCTTGGCACAAGTCAAACGAGCCCACAGGGGAAAATGAAGCTTTAAATAAAATAAACAGGTTACTTATAATTGGGTGCTGCCGCTGCTGAGACTCAGGGGATTTAAACAGTTTTTTCGAGTGATACCCTTTCTCGAGAGTAATTTTAGCTGATTTATAGACCTAGGCACGATGTTATCCTGGTCGAGTTATTTGAGGGAAATAACTTTTTGGCTTCCGCAGGAAGATATAAAAAGAGAAGTATTGATAGAAATCAGGTGGATCTATCTAGACACTAACAAGGAAATTTAATAGCCATGGCCTAGAGAAGTCATAGATTGCAACAAAAGTGATGCTTACCTCACCCCACTAAGCGTCTAAGCCAAGTATGAATTTTGATACTCAGTAATTTAAAACTGGCCTATCAGAAGCCTCCGCCAAAAGTGATTATAACTGTACAAAATTTTGGACTGATCATGTGACACATGTCCTACGCTATGACGCAATGTCAGAGCACCTCGTGCAGTGGAAGAGAAAACGTGAACCTTGTAACATACAGAATGTTACGAGTATTAGTTTGATTCCTCAACGAGGATTGAATGAGTCTCCCCAAGTATTGTTAAGCCATGTTCTCTGCCAGGTTTCTTCTCATTCCAAATATTGCAAAAGACAATCGGCGACAAAATTGTTGAAACACTGTCGTCAAATGGAGTGCTTTGGAAAACAAAACAATACGCAACCCTCCCCCTACCTTCCAAACAAGGTTAGGGTAGCTTCAATAGAGGCATAGCTTTGCATGGAGGGGTGGGGAAGGGGAAGCTAATGTTTTTTCTCGTCTTAAGTCGACAAAACTTCAGAGAAGCCCTTAAGGGCAGAGTGTTTCGACTGATTGTGTCAACGATTGCAGACAAGGGTGACTCATGAAACGATATTGCGATACGAATTTGGTACAAAGTAGCAAAACCTTACCGTATTATCTCTGGAGAACAGGTGCTTGTTGAACGTAATCGGCATAGCTTGTATTAGTGTTGTGTTATTTTCGTTTTCTGGTAACATATCCCTCATGTAATACAGATCGTACTGTCTCGATTTATCCTGATCTGCGTATTTTCTAATGCTTAGGCAGAGGGAGCTGAATATACGGATTAGAAACACGGCACGGCGAAACCTGGTGGCAGCCTACATAAACAATAAAATCAATCAAGCAACCAATCAACCAAATCCCTCTTAAGGCCCCGTGCAAACGGACGTACTCAACATTGTTGGCCAAAAACTCCCAACATTGTTGGACATGTTACATGTTGCGTCCGTTTACACATCTTGTTGCATGTTGTTGCGAGTTGTTGCGCAAAGTTTGAAACTGATGGTCAAACTTTTGATTCGGCAACTCCCAACATTTCTTTTGTTCCGTGATTGCCGAAGCGTAGCGCAACAATGTTGGATCAGTTTGCACGTAGCTCTTTCAACATTGTCGGAGCCATGCACGTGCATTCCACGAGATCTCCTTCAAGTTACAAATCCTTATCGGATGTATCCTCCCCAAGATGCATTGCAGGTCCCAAAATTGTTGGGGGTTGTTGCATCTGTTTACACGTGTAGCTTTATGCGATTAAACGATGCCTTCTTTCTTTGCCCTCAAAAAGCTCTTTTTTATGCTCTACTCTAAACGGAACTGATGACACCCTTACTATTTGAGGCGAATATGATGCCTTGTGAAGCTTGACTTAAATCTTCAGGAAAATTAAACTGCTCTTCATATCTATTTATCATTTCATCTCCAGTCATGAGAAGGTAAAGTATACGAGCTCTAAGAACTGAACCAACTTGGCAATCGCAGAAGGGACTGAATGCAAGGGAAGCCGCGATAAATATGCAAAATTAACTCCTCCCTTCTTGCACCTTGTCTTAGCCTAGGGGAAGAAAAAATGATACATTACCAGCTGTCTTTTTTCTTCTTGTTCTTCCTCGTCAATCGAGGTCGCTATTCCGACAAAACTTTTTCGCCTAAGTTTGCGCTCCTTCTCATCTCGAGAACCCTTCCTTCTCAAGCGCTTGCTCGCTTCTTCCACAGACAGAGAACGCCGGATACTTTTTAGACTAAAATAACTTGACTGTCTGCGTAGTGTCGGAACAGAAGTTCTGGTTGGCGAAGATGCCTTTGCTATGCCCTGTTTTGAGTTTTTCCCGTCCGCGATAATTTCAGTCTTGCTACTCACGCGAACCAAGTTCGGACGGCTAGTTTTGGGGCGAGTCAAAGCTTCTGGCTTCGGTTGCTTTTTAGTGGAACTTGACAGGGGTCTTGTAAACAGCAAACCACTCGTGCTCGACGACATTGTCGAATCCTGTTTACTCGGTTTAGGATCAACATCGTTACGATTCTCATTCAACAGAAGACAATGCGACGTGTATCTTCGAAGCAAACGCGCCCTGTTGGGTTTAGTTTTCTTTGCTTCCTCAGAATTTTCGTTTTCCTTTCTACCCTCCTCATTGAATGGACTAGTAGCACATTGCATGATAGCATCTCTATTCCGGCTAGCAACACTTGTCTCCGTGTTAACTGGGTCCTCCTGTCAATGCTTTGTGATGTTTCAGTTCTTTGGAAAACAAACTTAAGTGCGATTAACTCGACGTATAACAATAAACTTCACTTCCTCGCGGAAATAGACCAAAAACAACAACGCTACAAGTCTTGTCCATTCACGGAGAGATCGAAAACGAAACAATTTATTCTTACCTCAACTAGACAAGCCTTGAGGTCTGTGTGAATTTAGCATCATGAAGCAGCCATGTGGAACAACTCAGTGAATGAATGATTCGTAAAAGGAACAGGTAATTAGCGGTAATACGCTTTTAATGAAAGACACAAATTAATCTCCATTGAGGGATCAAATGGTATTCTTTTTGACGTACAATAATTGCCGTCCTGCAAGCGAAATATATGTATGGTATTGAGCCCACTTTTGTTCTAGTAATGCTACTGTACATTAGTTAGCTTTTACGTCTGCGTTCATGGTTCTGTGCGTTCAAATTTGGCAAGACAAATGAAACAAAAAAAGCGAAGCGCTCTGAGAAATGACCAGTGACATATGTAAATTTCTCGTTTGCAATTTTAGAGATTAGTCCAACTTTCAGAGGCAGCTTAGCCTAGCTGTCATTGACGATCAAATTAACTTTCATATCAGCAAATTATTGTTTTAATCAACTCCAAATGTGATTAATCTCAAACAAGTTTTAAATTTACCGCAAAGTTAAGGCAGGTTCCTGCTTTTTACGTAACAAGCTAAAATTTGATAAAAATGAATGTACCAAAACGACGTCAAACTGATAATACATGTTCACATACACCAAACCCGCAAAGGACAATACAGAATAAAGAAAAATATGCGTTGGTTTTCCGTTTCTTTGGCCCCCGTGAGTCCTCAACTTTTCCTTTCCCGATACGGGTTCCGTCCACACGTATCTGGTGAATCCGGCATACGAATCTGCTCTCCAGAGTGGAAATTTTTGAATACGCTATGGCGGGATCCAGAATCGTGTGGACGCTAAATTCGGATATTTTATCCGGTGACGTAACAAGATCGAGACCAGTTCTTTACCATGAATGCTGTATTTGTATTCAAGATGGCAACCTCATTCCCAGGATTTCTCTCTTACTCGCTTTACGACGCATGCTCTGTTGCCACTATTTCCCGAAGAGTCCTGCGTACGAGAGTGAATCCGGATACGTGTAGCCTGCGAAAGGCAGACGTTTCTCCTCGCTCGCCGCTCGAAAGCTAGAATACGTGTGGACGGGCAAATTCGATTTGAATACGGATACGTGTGGACGACGAAATTTTCGAATCCACAAAGAAAAATTTGCGGATTAAAAAATATCCGGATAAGGTATATACGTCTACAAATAACGAACACGTAAATTACGTACCACTGTCACAACCAACAAGTAGCGTCCAAATTTTGGATTCAATTTTAAGCCGAGACAATCTTAGCTTGACTGCAAATATAAAGGCTTGGATCTTGGCAGCTTAGCGCACGACTGCCTCCTTTTCGCTCGACTAAAGAGGGAGTTTAAGATGTCATGACGGCAATGGCAACGAGAACATAAAAAAAAAACAACAAAAAAACAACAACAACAAAAAATATAAACAAACAATAGGTTTAGATCACGCATTTTTGGACATTTCTTTGCCGTCACTGCACGACTCACCGGCTTGAGAATGCCTGATTTCTCGCTTAACGCACTGGGGACGCGATGTGACTACGAAATTTTCTTTCCCTTTCTGAACTTGGTTCCTTGCCTTGGAATTCAATTCCACGAGAATCTTAAACTCCCCAATAACACCTGCGATTCGCCTGTGATACAGGTTACTGACGTACCCTAAGTGAACAACTTTGCAACTTTTGCAGCAGGTTACAAAAAGATGAACACCGCTTTGATGGATGAAAGAGAAAGTATACATTTTCTTACACTGTTCTATCAATATCCGCATGCTTCTAAAGGCTGATGGCTTCTAAAGCATCTGTGCACTAAGATATGGCGATGACCCAAATGATCACAGAACAGACATTGAGAAATCTAACAATTCGCCAGTGGCGTTTAATTCAACCCAACTTATGACTATGGCTAGTAATTAATTCTTCGATATACTAAAACTTGTACATAAAAGTAAAATTCCTAAAAGCTATTAATTTTTATAGGAGCGTTTGTCCTGTCTTTCTCACACCGCACAAAAATGTCCTTGGCTAGTAAAGATTAATGGTAAGGAAAAGGCAGTTTCCGCATTCAGCGTTATTTTTGTTAGGAGAAAACCAGGCATTACAAATGACTTGCTTCTGACATCTATTCTAAAAGAGAGAGGAGAATTTATATTATTACTTATCATGATTACTGATTATCAGTGCACTCATACTCTCCAATGCGTTCAGGGTTTATAACAGGGAGGCGAATTTTGTCTTAGACAGAGTCGGGGATCTGAAGGCCGTGGGCAAACGGAATATGGTCGTTTCGTTTCAAAGGCGTTTCGCTACATAATAAAGTCGATTCGCTGCAAAGTTGTAAGGTAACTTCGCTAACTTAACTCGTTATTACTTTGTGGTTCATTCTCAACTGTTTTAAACTGTTTAATACAAAAAATTGCTTGCACCGAATCGACTTTATGATGTAGCGAAGCGACTAGCAGTGAAACGACGTTGCAGCGAAACGACTTGTAGCGAAACGACTGCAATTCGGGCAAACCTTTACCCAAACATTCCATTAGCGGGCAAAAAATACAGAATAAACATTTTTAACGGAAAGAAACAAATTTATCTCTTTATTTGAGAGAAGCCGCATCATTTTTGTGAATTAGGTTGTGTAAAAAAGGCTTGTTTTTAGAAAACTATTATCAAGAATAGGTATAGAATCGAAGATAGTATGGTAGTTGGTTTTTACTAAAACATTAGACCAAATAATTACTCATAGAAAACTCCATCTTGTAGTCTAATAATGTTCAATACTTATCACAAACATTTTAATGTGATTCATGTGTTCATACCTTTTGCTGTACAGTTAATCTACTTCAAAAGACTCTTGATGTCATCTGTTTCAGCACATTCAAGATAAGATCTACCATCAGGGGCTTTTAAATTTTTGTTAGCGCCCTACAACAAAGGAAAAACGGTATCATACATTCAATATGGCTGCTGTATCGGTAAAAAGGTCTATTATGGTTGCTAAAATAGTAAATCCTACTCGCCATGCTGACCAAAATGGTTATAGCTTTGGTGCACTGGAAATGAACCCCAAGTTTAAAACGTCTTGATGTTTGAACAAGTTGTCCTTATTGGCTTAAAAAACAATTTAAGCAGAAAATGTGGAGAATATGCATGTTGATATTGACAATGGCTTCATTGCATGGCAACTGTTTTTAGAAAACACCAAATTACTTTTCTTTAGCCTGCCTGTGATCTTTACAAAGATTTTGATAACTGAATTACTGTTGATTGAAATCACAATGTGTGCTGGTGAATTACGTAGGAAGTAGCACGGCCAAGTTAGTTTGTTATACTTGCAATGTGGTTGTCTTACATGTACGTTCAAGTCCCTCTCTGGACACTAGTCAAATTTGCTCTCGGTCTTCCCAAGTTCAAATCCTTGGCCACGTCTGGTTGCCTCCTGCCAGTTGAGGTTGTTAACCCTGTTATGTTCTATTTAGATTATTTGTTACTAATAATATTTTTGAGTGGAGTGTCTATAAACTAGCTGAGCAAGCTAAGGGCACTTTCCACAGTAAACTGTAAACCTTTCTTCTTTTTTTAACCTTTTAAACAAATACATAATAAGATTTTCATTCCTCTACTTCTTTTAATAATACTGTTACTAGAGTAATTTACTTTAATATTTTCTCACCTTTTCAAGCAGTAATTTCACACATTCTGTTTGACTTTCAAAAACACTGGCCAACAGAGCAGTTATGCCATGTTTGTCTGGAAGCTAATGATGTCAAGAAAAGAAGACTCATTTTGAAGAATGATCGCAGTAATCAAGCTTGGGTAAATTAAAAAGGTAAACTCTTTATTTAACCAATAAGGAGGCATTCAATCAAAGCACATCCATCTGAAGATACTATGGTTTGAATGCAGTCAGGTAGCTTGTGTAACAAGTACCGTAATTTTTTATGACGAAGGGAGAAAGTTTGGGAAACACACGCGTGCACACGAGGTGAGAAAAGGAGAGGAAGCCTCCAATGCCATTTGCATGTGGGGAATGTGCATTCTATAAAAACTAAGAAAATAACCAGCATGCTAAGAGTCAGGTGCATTGGTTCAAACCAACCTGCCAGTGAAAGGAGCAGGTCACAAATAATTCTCCTCTGGCTGCTTTGTTTTACTCATTTTCAAAATAAAGAGTGTAGCCAGACAATTTCACTGTCCTATCTGATAACCAATGACAGATACTGTGAGGGCTTTCATTTAGTTTTGAAGCAGCCTTGAGCAACTAAAGATTCACCCAAAACATCTCACAAAAAGTCTATAGTGTCATCTTTCGCTTTCCAGTTTGATCACCTGTAACAACAAGTGAGCTTAGCCATAACAGCTGTTATGGTTTATGGCCCCTATTGACAGCTCTGACTGGTCATTAAATGTAATTGAAACATTGGATGGAGCTGGTGGTTTGACTTGTTAGCTTTAGGTCAAAAGACATGGTTGTAATGTTACAGATACAGGTCAAGTGTCTTAGCATCTGCATACACTGGGTAAAATACACAAAAGATTCTCAGCACCTCATTTTGTTAATACTCGCTCTTTTAATTATTTGACCACTATGCACGCCTTTCTTTCACAAAAGAAGTAGGAATATCTTACTTTTTTCCATTGGTGAATACATTCCTTTAACTGAACAAGTTTAAGTTCCTAAAGTCTGTATTTTTTATGGACCAACATTGTTTTCCTTCAGATTTATGGTCCAAAAAAGTGTGCTAGACACAACTGTATGTACAACAGACAAGGCTCCATAACTTAACAATCTTATTGAGAAAGCCAGTTTAGCAAAATACTTATTACATTTCCATGTCAGGTTTATACTGCAATTTAGGCTCTACATTGACCAGTCACAAAGAAGGATTGTAGTTACTGACAGATATATCTACAATGTCATGAAAGACTGACATGATTCATCCTCGGAGACCCAGGGGCAGGTAGTGGGGGTGAGGGAAAGTTTAAACGGGCAGGAAAATATTAAAAAAAATTAATAAAAAAATATATTTATATAGCGCCTATACTTTTCAGTGCTAAGCGCTTGAAAATATGGCACGAAGAAAAGAAAAGAACGTGGAGAAGAGCCCTTGGGGACAATGTCTTATCAGACCAGTTCCAAACTGTCGCCATCGTTCTGGCTTCTGATTGGTGCCAAAAAACTTTTGTGTTTTTCTGCCCAATCAGAAGGCAGAATGGCAGCGAACGTTTGGAACTGGTCTGGTAAGACATTGTCCCCAGGGGCTCTTCTCGCCGTTCTTTACTTTTCTTCGTGCCATATTTTCCCGCCCGTTTAGACTTTCTCTCGCCCCCACTATCTGCCTCTGGGTCTCCGAGGATGGACATGATTTATTTGCCAACTTTCATTAATAACAGCATTCAAACTGCTTTATAGTAACTTACGTTGATATTTGCTCCCTTTGATAGAAGAAACTCTATGACTTCCTTTTGTCCGTAATCGGCAGCATAATGGAGGCCATTGCGTCCTGCTAACAGCCCAGCATTCACATCAAAACCCTAGAAAATTGCAAATTGGTTCATTTGCAAGTCAGAAGTGAATAAGATCCTGTTTACACAGGTCCGCACAATTTTTGAACAGAAGTATTTTTTAACTACACTACTCGTTTAGACAGAACAGTTCAAATTTTTTTACAGATTTCAGTGCTTTTTACACAAGTCCATAAAAATTTTTGCATAGTTTCAGTGATGGGTTAAAGCTTTTGCGTTAATCAACTTATGGAAGGTGCGTAACCAAGCTCCAGGCTTTTATCACACAAACTGTGCAAAAACTTGCATGGTTCAGGACAGGTGTTAACATAAGTTCGTGTTAAAGTGAACTGTACCGGTAAAAAATTTTGACCTATTTGGGATTATGTCAAAAGCTTGCATGGTTCCTTGGGTTTCATGGGAACAAAAGGCGGATCTGTGAAAGTTTTTGTCTATTCTAAAATTTGTCAGGATCTGTGTAAACGGTGTCTAAGTTAACATTCCAAGAAACCTTAAAGTCTAAGCGGATGGGGGAATGGCAAAGAGAAAACATTGACATTGGACAGTTTGGCTTAAGAATTTAAAGGAAAGTACATTGAAATTAAAGTCTATGGTTGCAGCTACAAGAACACTTTTCTGAATGTCATTAAGATTTCCTGAGAATAATATGCAATTAGAGGGCCGGAGAATTTGACAGCTAGGAAATTCCTTTTGCATGGCTTTCCTTTTGTTTCCTTTCAAAGTTCCGAAGATGGTGGTCATGCTCATAGTAGCCAGGATAGCCTGTGATCATGCTTTCCCCAAAAACCATCTAAAAACTATTCCTTTTATTTCTTACTTTTTGTTTGCCACCACAACATACTATATGGTAAGTACATGTTCAATTATTGTGAGTATTGTATGACTCTCTGGAAAAATGATTTCACATGGATAAGCCCCAACCTGTCAGAAAATTGGGTCTTTTAACTCCCCCCCCCCTCCCCCTCAGAAATTCCACTGACCATTGGAGGGGGAGTTATGGAATTTTCTGGAATGATACAATAAAGTTCTATTCTCAATGGCTTATAAAGTGGCACTAAAAAGACATTATTGTATGCAAAAAAAATACATTTATTTTAAACCAAAAGTGTAAATGGAAGGACAATTAATATAATGCACTCAAAGGAATTACAACCATGAAATCTTTTACAGTGCATGAATTAAGCTTAATGTCTCTAAAACGACTTTAAAATAAAACTCAGTTAAACTGGGGTTAACTTATTCTTTCAGTGCAGCATCTCCACACAAATGACTAACGCAGAACCTCAATTATATTTGCAAATGACCTCGATCGTTTGATCAAAACTTCCAGGATTAAGTGCAACACGAGAAGGCCAACGACAAATAAACTGTTAAAATATCGGTGCAGTTCGGGGCACGCATCCATTTTGTTTCATCGGTAGAAAAGGTCGGCGCTGGCCATTTACAAACTAACTAATGTAGTTATGAAGGAACTTTATAGTTTTTTTTCGTATCTACTGTATTTTTAGAAAAACTCCAAACTCGAACCAAGTCGTGCGAAAAAACATGTCAATAAAACAACACTTCACACACCCACAAATAAAATGAAAGATTTCTTCCAGTGCGCTTCCACAAAATAATTTTCTTACCGGTTTCTCTACAATCGCTTTCACCTGATCCAGATCTCCATTCTTACAAGCCCACACTAATTCCTCTCCCATAATGGACGAGAAAAACAAGAAAATTCTTATACCTTTGGCATGCACACTGGTAAAGTGAAAGAGATACTCGTGTCTTGCTTGGATCAGACTACCCAGAAATCTATTCGAAATATTTACAGACACATTGTGGGTTCTTACAAGACGTATGTTAAGAAAGTTCTTCATGGAAGGGCTTGGTGCGGAGCAAAGGTAGAAGAAGTGACCTGAATTTTGGTTTTGCGATAGTTTACGTAACATCAAAACCATGGATGACCCTTCTGCGGTGAGAGACCGTTAGACAAATAGACTAGGAAACATATTTTTGTTTATTTTATGTTGTATACCAGGAACTCATTTCATTTTCTTTAGACAGCCAGTATGTTTACGGTTTTGTATTTTCATCTCCGCCTTACAATGTGTAAAGGGGCCAATTAGTTGACCCTCCCTTCTTGTACTATAAATTCTAACGTTTGTAAATTCTTATTCGATGTACAGTCCGCAGGCCGCAAGTTTGTTATATGTATAGCTGTAAAATCTGGCCTTCGTCAAAACTAAGAAAGCTGATTATTAGCCCTTTTTGGACCACATTTTCTTCATTTTGAATTTTGTTTTGTGTGTTTTCTCATTCACTTCCTTTGCGGCTCTGTCGAAGCGTGATTGTTAAGTCGAGTATTGTGTATTCTGACATCACCTAGGAAAACAGGGTATTATGCTCAAAATTATGCTCTGTTGGTGGTATTATGCTCCTAATTTATGCTAGACTAAAGTAACACTATTTTACATTCTTGGACTAAATAGATGGAAAATTTATACCCCCCTTTCTCTCCCCCCCCCCCCCCAAAACAAGAAAAAAAAAATGGCCGAGTTTGGCTTTTGCGCGGCTCCTCCCTTGATTTGGGGGGGTGTTTTTTTTTTTAATTATCTTTTCCACCATGTAAAAAGGTAATTGTGAAGGCAGGCTTTTTAACTGCAGAGTTTTTACCTTTTTTGATTCGTTTTTATTTTTTTTTAGAAAAAAGAATTGGGATATTAGTAGAATTATATTGTGTGTTTGGTTTTGTTATTTTTAGTATTCAGATACCTAAATATACAAATTTTTATTAATTAATCCTAACACTTAGGGAATTTTTACCCCCCTCTCACTCCCCCCCCCCCCCCCCAAATCAAGGATAATAAAATGGCGCAGTTTGGCTTTTGCGCGGCTTCATCCTTGATTTGGGGGGATGCTTGTTATTGTAATTATCATTGATGACAGTGAAAAACGTAATTGTGAAGGCAGGCTTTTGAACTTCAGAGTTTATACCTTTTTTGCATCGTTTTTATTTCTTTGTAGAAACCTGTGTTTGTTGGCCTTGGCGTTGTCATGGTTACAGTAGCGTTTGGATTGATCACGTACTTCTTTAAAAAGCAAGGGAAAGATGCAAGACCAGTGGCTCTTGATCCACAGAAGAAGATTCCTTTTAAACTCATTGACAAAAAGGTGTTTAAATATTAAGTTGTGTTTTATTTGGTGAAACAAATATGTAGCTAAAACAAGATCATTAATGATCAGGACTGTGCTGTAGCAGTGCCTCAAGACCCCTTGTATTGGCATTTTTGCCCTTGGGCAACAAGGAAATCCAGAACCCCCAGATTTCAATGTGTTCCCTATGAAAAAAATAATTTTAACTGTTGTTTGTTCTCTGAAGATTGTGAGTCATGACACGAGAAGGTTTCGCTTTGAGCTGCAGTCACCTGAACACAAACTTGGACTTCCTGTAGGTATGCATCTGTACAATGTTCAATTTTTTTTTTGGTGAATTAGTAGAACTTATATTATTATTGGTAAACTATGTTATAATGAGCAAGAGTGTTATTACTTTCTTTCAATGAGCAGTGTCTGAACAACAAAGAGTCAAATTAGAGAAAATGATTGCAAAAGGCTAGCCTGTGAAAGCATCCTTTTCTCCTTAGAAACGAATACTTTCGCAGGCTAGCAAAAGGCATCTGATACCTTGGGACTAGTTGAATGACTTGTAGCAGGTTTGCAAATTTAAGCGATATAATAAGTTGCAAGTTGCCGCATGACGGGCAAGCAAAGAAAAACTACAAATAACTAAAGTTTGGGCTATGACTCAGTCAGAACTCTGGGAGAGCTAAGAAAGCAACATTTGGGTATTGTAGGTGAACTGCTGTTCTGATTTTTATCTCACCTTATATCAAATTAGACGCAGACATAGAAATGCCTTTAATGTTTTTATGGACTTAATTTACCCTAATATCATCCTCATTGTCAATGTCTCTGTTTTCTTTGGTTTTTTGATCAGGAAATCACATGTATCTCAGTGCCAAAGTTGATGATAAACTTGTGATCAGACCGTACACTCCTGTTACATCTGATGATGAACTGGGTTATTTTGAGCTGGTTATTAAGGTAACTTTTTGACAGCTGACTATTCATTAACATTGTATCTAAATTTAAACTTATCTGTCGAGGAGATTGTTTCTATTTCCGTGAAGAAAGTAAACCTTAATGTTTTGGCTTTCAAACCTTGTGGACATGGCATTGGTTACATAGTGATCAGGGCTTCAGTATTAGCTGAAACCTTTTATCTTTGTTGTAGATTATTAATAGAGAAAAGTGTAATTTCTTCAGAATTATCTTGTTACTTTTTTCAAGGAAGTTTAATTTCTTCAGAATTATCTTGCTACTTTTTTCAAGGTTATAGAACATTCTTGGACTGAATGACTGTTGAAAATTTTCTTTTTAATTGCTTATTTCATTACTTGAATTTATTTCTTTGTTTTATCAAAATTTGGACCTTTCTTCTTTTTGTTTCATTCATTTGTTTATAGTAAAATCAAATCAATCATGTGTCTTAATATTAATCATTGTCTTCTCTCAAAGTCTTATCCACGTCCCTTTTGGGATGCTCAGTGCAGATTATGTGTGAAACTGAAGGTGGCACAGTGAAACCTCTATTAAGCGGACCCCCAATTAAGCAGACACCCCCTATTAAGCAGACACTAAGCTGGATACTGAAGTTAACATGTTATATTTCCCTTCGTAATGAACCCGTATGCAGTGGACACCTCTATTAAGTGGACGCAGACACTAAAATTGTATTTGGCTAATTTCTATTGCTAATAACCTCTATTAAGCAGACACTGGACTGAATTGACAATATTGGATTACGTCCTTGAAATACATACTGTAGTCAATTAATAATGCGGATAAATCAATACATTTAGCTGTCAATAAACTGTAGATTAGACCGAAAGTCTCGCACAAATTACAGCACAGCTTCCTTAGCTTCCATGACAACATGGAACTTTATCACAGTACAGCATAACCCTTGAAAGTTTAATTGTTAACAAACATTGTGCAATTTTTACGAACCTCTGTGAAGTGGACACCTTCTTTTAAGCAGACTCTTGGGAAGGTCGCGGAGGTGTCCACTTAATACGGGTTTCACTGTATTAGGTTTAGGGTTTAGGGTGAGGGATCCTTAGTCATATCTGCAACTTAAACCATCTGCCTTTTGGTTCAGACTTTAAGCCTAAGATGACCAAGAGAATTGACCAAGAGAGATACTGGATACCTGGATTTAATACATGTGTAGTGTGTAATGAGATGGTTTTTTTTTTTATTTCTAATCCTGTTCAATATTGTGTTAGGTTTACTTCAAGAATGTCCACCCTAAGTATCCTGAGGGTGGAAAGATGTCCCAGTACTTGGATTCTCTTGAGATTGGTGACACTGTTGACATTAGAGGACCATCTGGAAAGCTGACATATGTAGGGAGGGGTAAGTAAATTTTGTATGGTGCTGTTCAACAGGGGAGGGGCTGGGGCAAAAGTCTTTCATAACATTCTTTTTAAATGTGGCAAGCTTACATTAAGTAATCATTTTGATACCTCTCTAGGAAAATTTGCAGTCAAGGAGAATACAAAAGATCCTGTGAAGTTCAGAACTGCAAAGAATGTTGGCCTAATTGCTGGGGGAACTGGTAAGACAGGAAATTATTATTTTATATTTCAATGTGCTTGAAGGCTACCTGAAGTGACAGTTGGCTCTATGCAATATTATGAGATTTAGCTGAACACTAGTTGTCCCAGGGACCGGGACCACTGTACCATGTGTTCCATGCTGCCTGCATTTAATGCAAGCCTTCATAATTATACAATAAGAACTTTGTAAACGTACTTGTTTGATTTTCAAACATGCATGGGTGGACGAGGAGGTCTTTGATAGAGACATGACTTAATTTGGTCAATTCTCTCTAATACATACACCTTTGAGACCAGCACTATATGTGCGTCTTAGCGAGATGTCAGTCTAATAGAGAGTCTGCTGAGTAAAGAAAGGCAGGGACCAACTCTAGGTGTCTGTCTTAGTAAGGTGTCCATCTTATAGAGGAGTCTGTTACGAAAAAGTTGACTGTGGATAATTTTCCAGCCAAAAATGGGTTGTGTCTGAGCAAAACATAGAGTTGAGAAGACAACTTGACCTGCATCAGCCACAAAATTATTTCAAGGCCTGGTAAGAAAAAAATCATGCCTCCTAGCTTGGCAAGTCATTTTCAGGTTGGAAGAGGAGGTGCTAGAATGTGGAGCTACCAACCTTTAGCCCCTGCTGTGATGTAGTGTTGATGTTATTTTGTTTCTTTGTTGTGAATTCTTAAGGCATAACACCCATGCTTCAGATCATCAGTGCAGTTATCAAAGATAGCGAGGATAAGACCAACATTTCACTCCTGTTTGCAAACCAGGTTTGGGTGATTTCCATTCTTTCTTCTTAAAATCAAAGAAATGCACAAAAGTCTGGATTGTGTTGTTAGTTAAAGGGTTCATTCGATATTACTGTAAATTTTCCTTTTTTAGACAGAGAAAGACATCCTGGTAAGACCAGAGTTGGAGGAGTTAGCTAAGGAGTGCCAGAATTTTACACTGTGGTACACCCTTGACAAGCCTCCTGAAGGTACAAGTCTTTTTGCTGCTGAGGGAGGAGGAGAGGGAGGCCAGGGATGCCTGAGTAGTATTGGGTAGCTTTGGAATGATCAAGGCTGTGCTCTAAGAAACGCTGAAAGGTGCCAATGCACTGAGCCTGTGAAATCCAGGGTGCCCAGCATACAATTTCTATGAAAAAAAAACTAAGATTTTGTAATAACCCTGTTGCAAAAGTTAGGTGCCTGGGGCCTCTAGGTGCTGCAAGAGCACAACCTTATGATTAATGTTGCTTGACATAATTGGCCATTCATGCAAACAGTATTTTTCACACCAGGCATGTATTTCAAACTTGGCCTTGTAGACCTGACATTTCTTTGAATTTTCAGTTTACTTGGGCGTGCTATTTCTTAGATATAGTTTGTTAACTCTTTTTCACGGCCTGTATCTTACCCACATAGCGTAAGCTTGTTACACCACAAATAAACGCGTGAAGGGCTTATTAACAATTCAAAAGCCAATATTTCATGTTTGCTTCAGAAGAATAGTCACTCATGGAGGTTTGACTGTAATTGTATTTTTTCTGATTTTTTTTCCTAGGCTGGCCTTATAGTTCAGGATTTATTAATGACACAATGATCAAGGACCACATGCCAGCCCCGGGACCGGATACTCAGATATTGATGTGCGGTCCTCCGCCCATGATCAACTATGCTTGTATTCCCAACCTAGAGAAACTTGGTTACACTCCTGATATGTATTTCCCTTTTTAAGTGCATCCTGAGCACTCTGCACAGGAATACCATCTTCTGAGTGGTTCTTCTGTTTTGTTAGCTGTTGATAGCTTGTGTGGCAGATGCTGATAAACGTTTGTCGAGCGCATGAAAGATGCAGATCCGGCCTACAGTCGTTTTGTACAACAATAAATCTTCTTCTCCTCTCTAGCTTCTGCCACGCAGGCTATTGCAGAGATTAGATGGTCAAAGAAGAAATGAATTTAAATGTGTTGTAGTTTTCACAATCTGCTTTCACCTTCTCTTCAACTTGATTTTCCTTGCTTTTCTTACCACCCTTGTCTTTCACTATGGAGTCTACCAGTCTGCCACGACTAATACATGTTTGATAAAAAGACAAGAGACAAGACTGAGTCTCGATCAACCTGAAAAATTCTCTAGCGAGAAAAATCGGGATGTTAATTAATTTGTTATCTGTGCAGGTTGTTTCTCAAGTTAAAGAAATTCCCAGTATAAATGAATCTGAGACATGACAAGCCATTGTCTCCTTTCCTTGTCCCAATTTTTTCCTCCACAACTGAAAATCAGTCATGTCGGTCGACCAGATCTTTTAACTGTGGAATAAAATAAACGTTTTGTAACTTGGTGTACGTGTCATTTTCTTGTCGATATGAGTGATGTAACGCGTGCGTTACCTATTCTTT